AAACATTAAACTAACAAGCCTTGGTTTATGTCTCTGAGATCTGTAGAAGATAAGTAGAAAACTCCAGTCTATTTGGACCCATAGAGCTACTATAATAATAATATTTACTAAAGAAAAATGGTGCTGAACCAAGATTTTCCTACACATCACTTTTACCAGCAAAAAAAATGCTGTTTTATTGAAATTGAAACACTTCAGTGTTTTGATGAAATGAACATCATTTAGAAAAAAAAAAAAAAGGAGGACAAGAGGGACAAGAGGAGAGAAAAGCATTTTAAGCATTTTTATACTAAAATGGCATGTCTGAGGTTTTTTCAATTTTTATATTTCTCTGTCACAACAAAGTATAAGAAAAGAAACATCAAAAAGCCAAACCAACCACCTAAAATTAGGTAGAATAAATTCAATATTAAAATGGATAGGAAGTGCTTATTCTTGTTCTGAGAAAAAACAGGTTTAAAAAGAGCAGGACTTCCAACAGATCTGATATTCTATTTCCTGCACAGCTAGTAATAAGAATATAACTGTATATTTCAAATGCATATACCTCCACATAAATATTACTGTACTTACACACCAAGTATTAGCACACGTTTACATTTTCTATTCAATAAAGTTGCTATGCAACACTCTGCAACAGACTCCTTCACTTCCGTACAGCGTGCTCAACTGAAGTAATCTGCTTGCAACTGATGAATCAGTTACTAAATTCTAAGTGGAAACTGGAAGGCATCAAACACAATGCAAGGATTCTGCACAAGACCAATGCAACAAGAGTAAACTGAAGAAACCTTTTCTGCTCCAACATCAAAAAGGTGTAATAATAAAAGTGAAAGAAATTCAAATGATCAGAAATGACTACAGACTCCCTGCTCAAAAGCAGACAGAAATAAAACAAAACCAGCCTCCTCCCTCCCAGCCTTATGCCTTGCCAGGAAAAGAAGGGATGAAAGAGGTAGCAGAAACAGCATTTCACCTAGCAACCTGACACACCATCGCAAAACGATAATAACAAATGGATGTGGGATTTCACCCCCAGCCCAGGACACAGACATGTCCAAAGCAGAAAGCAACTACTGCTGACAGAGACCTGGAGAGTACTTTCTGTCCTTTTTACACTTGCTCAGTGACCCTTGGGGCTTGCCACACCAGCTCACGGCCATGGAATTGAATCACATGGTAGTAGGACCACAGCGATCACTAATTTTTTGTTTTATGCATTTTCAAACAAACCCCCAGAAGGCAGCGTTCCTGGGGCTGTAGTTAGGAATGCAAGAGATAAGTGGGAATATTAATGAAGGTGTGATACGTATTACAAAACTAGGGCGCCTCATGTTTTCTCTAGTACACTTCAAAGGTGACATGCGAACGGAGGAACGATCATACAGGGCAGAGCCGCAGACTTCTTCATCCAGAAGTGAAATCTGGAATGGTCAATAGCACATCCTGCTGAGAACTGCCACAAATGCAATTGACAGCTGAAAACCAGGAGCTAAAGGTCAGCTCTAACCCAAAACCAAGGAAGTTTGAAATTTAGAAGTGTCTCTACAGGAGCTCTCATCCCTTGATGACAAATACTATTTGTCAGATCCTTGTGGGATATTGTTTCAAAAGCCTCACAAGTTTCACTGCAAGGAAAGGCTTTCATTAACATGTTAAGAATGAACACAGGTAAGCAGAATTTAGACATATCCAATTTAGGTATTTAAACTTCAGCCTTGCCCACCTGCCAAGAACACAAAATAACTTTAACTTGTTTAATAGGTGATGCGTTTTCCTCTACCATGATGCTACTATTTCCTTAGAGTTGTTCTGAATTTTTTCCCTCCTAATTTTCTGGCATTGCTTCTTTTTTTGCTTCATGTAGCATAAAATTTCCATCAAATTTCTCCAGAAATGTCTTTTTTCAGTATGTGGACTTTTCAAATGCTGGCTGATTATTAGAGTGTTACTGCTCTTTGGACACTAAATAACCTACCCAGACAGGTAGCACTCTTCTACTCATGCAGTAATCATTCAGGTTCCTAATCACTTTGTCCATTCTCCTGGCAATAAACTGCCATTATTGAGTCCAACATGGCCAGACTCCTCTGTGAAAACTGGTGCCTGCCTGAGTACCCATGTGGAAGCCTTTGAAATGGCCACAAGTGAACTCCGGGCCACACTGTCCCATCACAGCCTTCTGAACAGCCTAATACCTGCCTCTGGGATTAACTTTTCTGTACCTCTCCAAATACCTCATGCTCCCACCAAGACCTCAATTTCCCTCTACCTCCTGCTGTCTGATTTCCCAGTTTCTTTGCTAACACCTGCAACACCTCCAGCTTGGTATCATCAGTATATCTCACTAATAGACTTTCCTCTTCCTTCACATCAGTAATGAAGAGCTTTAAAAAGACATTAAAAAAAGATTTGTGGCCAAAGGTCTCATTAATTATGTTTGCTGTACCCCACTAGGCACCTTCCTCCAATGCAGCTCATTCCATTTATCACAGCCCTTTGTTTACAGCCTCTGCCAGTTTCAACTCTCAAGTCAGTGCTTCCTCTCTCCCAGGGACTCCAATTTCTTTTCTTTTCTTTTTTTTCTGTCTTTATTTAATGGCAGGATGTCTTTCTTCCAAAACGTTTTCTGCATTATAACCAGGGATTTATGTAGCGAGAAAGATATATAAAGGTTTAACCCCAGAGTGGAAATTAAAACAGCATCAATTTCATACAGGTGAAGTTTTACACCGACAAAAGGAGCAGACAAGCAGCGTCACGGCTGGGACAGCCAGAGGAAATTCAACCGCCTGTGCTCTGCAAAGGTCAGACGAGATGATTGAAAGCATCCCTGGTGCCTCTGCATGGACAGAGCAGGTCCCTGGTGGGCCAGCTCCTGCTGGTGCAGGAGTGACTCTGGCTGTTCTGGGAGATAAATAGGAATAAAACAAGACCTTGACTTTTTGTCAGTCAAGCTTTGCTTCTGGTTTCTGTTGTCCAGCAATTAACATGGCAGACATCTGCAGAAGTCAATTGGCTATCATTCAAGATGTTCCCACTCATCGCAAAGGTTAAGTCTACTCTGATAAACGGGATCAACCTCTAAGTGGTCTTTAAGCACAGACTCATGGGAACTCAGGGAGGAAAGGGGGCTGCATAGCATGAAGATGGTGCTGCCCTCACACAGCCAGCCATACACTCCCTGGAAGAGGCAAACCTGCCATGCACAATGCAGGCCACCCACTGGCAGAAGAGATGTCCCCCCCCACTGCTGGGGTGCATGCCCACAGCATGGACTGTGGCTGGCTCACAGCTCTCTCCTCTCAGGGTAAGGGCCAGAGAGATAGAGACAGGCTGAGGGAGTTGTGCTGACAGTCAATAGATTAAAAGCTGTTCTTGGTTCTCATCTTTTATCACCCCATGATAGACCTGTCATGCGCCTGGGTTTGTGCTCAGTGCCCAGACCAGCTGCTCCTCTGTCTGCTACACTCCTGCCACATTGGGTACATAGGACTGTGCCTCAGTTCCTCCATCACAGCTTTCAGCTACTGCTCAGAGATAAAAATGCACCCAGGAAGAGGGATAAGACCCTTTCTAAAAGGGCTTTGCATGGAGCCAGAGACCCTGAAATCCACCTCCATAGCATGTTTAAGAAATAGGTAGCATCAGGAAGGTGATTTTGGCACAAGGGAAAACGTATGATGTAAATTGTGAGGTCAGCTGTGTAAACTTTCCTGATCTGGAAAAGAAAAGGGAACTCTGAGCTCAAGAGAAGGATTAGGAGAGCTCTGGCAAGGTGTTAACCACTGCAGACAGCCTGATTAGAGAGATTACAGGGAAGAGCAAAGAAGCTTCCTGCCATTCTGCAAGATGGAAAAAAAACTTGTGGATGAAATGCCTAAAGGGCTGCATGTGACAGCTGCTGCCTTTGCACAGGGAATAGCCAGAAACATCAGAGTGACACAGTTCAGCGCTCTTGCAACCCCCTGATCCCAACTGCACTCAACCTGCCCACCAGTTCTCTTCCAGCCACCTGGATACAACCACAACAAAGACTGAGCCACCTCCGTTGATGTTTCCTACAGTTAAATAACAAGAGTAATGCCTGCTTACTCACTTCAGGGTTGCAGGAGAATGACACCGATTTAAAAACAAAAAACAAACCAGAAGAGGTAAAGGAAGGGAAGAAGAGGGAAGAAACAGTTCAGCATCAATAAAAACTGCAAATCACAACAATGAGGCTGGTCTTGTCCCCATCCTCTGGGAAGGGAGGAAGCAAGAGTTATGGGGGGGGCAGCTCCACTGTGGCACATGCCCCAGGGCTGTAGCACCTCTCTCTCTAGGTTGCATGCAGAGCTGGGAACAGCATCGCAGATCTGAATGGCACCAACAAGCAGCAGATCTGCTGCTGACACATCTAGGCTCACATGCAGTCCCAGCAGCCCTATGCCCAGTGGTGCTCAGCCTGGCTCTCACACACACACCAACTCACAGGGGAACAGTCTGCATAAAAGAGATTACAAAGCACAGGGTGAGAATGAAAGAAAAACAGCCGGTGCTACACACCCCTAAACTGTAATGGCATGAAAATTTTTCATGTGAGAGGATCTGGAAGAATGTGTGAAAGCCTGAGTAAACCAATCCCCCCTGCTTACCCCTCTGCAGACCTCACACACATCCCTCTTCAGGCAGATGCTATCAAACCTGTGATGTCCTTCAGTAAGAACAAGAAAAAAACCTTTCCTTTGCTGCACACTGTTCATCTTGAGCTCCTGAGCCATGAGCATGGCCTTGCACTAAAGGATTACCAGGGCAGATATGTCAGGAGACTGTAGTTTTCCTGCCCATCCAATGACAACTCTTGATGCCATGATGGGGGAAAGCCTGCACATACAGTGCTCAGCCTCCACTCAGTTTGCACTGAAACTCCACCTGAAGAACACCACCACACACAGCCTTACTGATCCCATACTGCCCACAACTCAAGTTGAGCAGGTGTGGAGGGAAGCTTGACTTACTAGGCACGCGGTTGATAGCTTTCAGGGGTCTCAGGACACGAACAGTACGGATTGCAGACAAGTTAATGTTCTGGAGATCCAGGGAGTACTCCACCATCCTGTAGAAGGAAAGAGTGAGAGAAGAAGAAGAAAGTTTAAAGAAAAATTAAACATTTTGGTTTGAGCCATAGAGTCATCATATGTTCATTGAAGGGTTTCTGGAAGTCATGGGTGTGAAGCCTGAGTCTTTGGGAGCAAAGCCAAAGCCTCCAGGAACCCTCCAGGAGCAGGACTGGAGACCAAGGCTCCCCTGGCAGGACATGCAGTGAGCAATGAGAGGGTGCCATGTGGATGCAGGCCAGGAGCTGTGATAACTTACTTGCTGTGACTTCCAGGTGGAAGGAGAGCTGCATGAAGCTGTGCCAACAAGGAGTGTGCACTCCTGGCGAGGGCACGCATGTGGGGTGGACATTTCCCATGAGGCCAGGAAGAGGAGGGCTGTGTAGCTGGTTTTACTGAGCATTACCTGAGGCACAGCAGCATACTGCCATTGTTCCACTCATCTCACAGTGCAGGATGAGGTCCCTGGAGGCAGCTTCAGCTAACCTGTTTTACCTCACGTAGAAGCAAGCTCTCTACTTAAAGCGGTAACTGCTTTGCCTAGGCAGAAAGCCTTCTCCTAGAGCTGTGATTCACTCCTTTCTGACAGCAACCAAAAGGGGAAAAGCCTAATTTTAGGACATACGCTAGACCTCATCTTTCCTAACCCAGCAGCATGCTCCCTAAATAACCTCAAAGTGCAAATAGCTATGACTAACGCATTGGCTTTGCTGCAAGAGCAGCAGATGCAGGTGAAAAAAAGTGACCTGGCCTAGCATCCTGTGGCCCAGCACTCCCCTCCTTGCCCAGTATGGCGGATGTCCAGTAACGTGCCTGCCTCTTGGAAAGCACAGTGAGAAACTGGATTTTACTAACCATTTACCCTGGCCAGCAATTTCCACCTGAGGATCTCAAAGCATTTTGCATGTTTTAGTGAACATAGGTGCATGAGGTCTCCAGGAAGACACAGGCTGCTGTCATCAGCTTCCTCGGGGTGACCCTGACGTGCAGAGCAGGGTCAAGAGGGTGGCAGCATCGACAGGTGAAAAAGCAGCAGAGTCAGTAGAGAAACTGCTTCTTCTGAATCTCTTCTCAGACGTGACTAATGAAGCTATAAAACGCTCCCTTTTCCTTGGTCTATCAACAAGCTCAGATGGGGAAGAATCAGGGGAATCAGCCTTTTGTTACTCCACCCTTTCTCAAATCAAAACCATCATAATTTACGTAGAAAGACCCATACGTCAGTAGTCCAGTAACCTAGTCCATCCAAATCCTTCTTCCCAGGACCCACTGAGGAGTGAATCAGAGAGCCTGAGATGTTGAGAGGGCCAGTCCATAAGAAATATCAGGGAGAAGACTAGATCGAAACTTCAATGAAACAGACTGATCTTTCTATCGATTACCCTCCTCACTCAAAAGGACCTGGAAGAGCAAATGTCTAGTTATCTGTCTACACCTTTCACAAAGGGGACTTGTCAGAGTGACAGATTTTCAAACACAGTGGGGTAAACTTGTTGAAGTGTTGTGATTATTCTCTCTCATGCTCTCTTTCTTTCTCTCCCTCTTTCATTTCACTCTGTTCTCTCATGCACTTTTAGGGTAATTGCACGAAATAATTCTTCCTCTGAAATGCAGTGGCATTCATTTACATCCCTGGAGCTGTCAGTTCCATGTACACCGAGTGCAGAGGGAGAGAGGAGGGATTTCATGCAGATAATCAAAATATTCACACCCCCAAAAAAATGCAACTCAAAAAACGCCTACCCCAAACCAAGCAGTGATACTTAGATAGACTACAAAAAGCATCAGTGATAGACAGAGGCTTAGGATCCAGTCAGATGAAACTGAGAAATATGTATGAAAGGAAGAAGAATGCACACAGATACAATTGCACAGACATGACTACAGGCATCATACTAAGGAGAAACCTGTGTGGTGTAAATGAACACAGTGCAAAGGGTCTTGAGTAACCACTGATCAACCTTGCTCCAAAAGCATAAAGTAAAACTGCCTCACCAATGTGTTGTTGCTCCAGAATTAGATAGACCTGCTACAGCTTCGGAACTACAGTTACAGGGAAAGCACTGTATGGACATAGCTGTATTGCTCCCAGAACATGGGTTAATACCTCTTCACAGCACAGCTCCACAGAGCCAGCTTCATGATTGAAGAGGTCCTTACACTCCAGTTTGTTATAGGGGGTAGGTATGTGGACAGAAACATAAAGATTTCCAAGCTTGGTGAAGTCCCACAGATCTTCTTTTCCTCTCCTAAGAAAACACATCCCCTAGAGCACTGGGTTAAGGCCAGACCTCTGAAGGCAAAGATATTATTTTTGAGCAGTAGCAAACAACCTGAAACACACTCTGCCAGATGCCAAATAAGAAAGTAGCCCAAAATACATCTCATTTCAAAAAGTGGTCTTTTCTGAACTGCAAGTGATTAAATGAGAAGTCTTGAAGAACACCATGACCCTCACAGAAACTGAGCACAGCAGAACAGCACAGTGCTAGAGCTGAGATGAAATCAGCAGGCAGAGGTGAAATTGTTTCTTAGACTTAGCCATGCAAAAGTCATTTAAAAATAGAACCTCTGTTTACAAAGCTTTCAAGTTCTGTCCTCTTGTGGCTACACCCATGTTGCTGGCACTACAACAGGAGTAACTGTAATCAGGTAGCACGTCACTGCCCTCTTCTAGCTGGAATGAGCTTGCCACTTATATGGCATAGTCTGTGTGTCACTAGAAAATTAATAATCCTCAAAGTAGCGAGCACGGGTCGTTGGAGAGCAAGATGAATGCTACTCTAGCTGCAGCTGTGCAATTCATGCAGCCAGTGAGCCAGTCTCCTGCAGCTTTTGGTGACTGCAGATCTGCTGTGATTACATCCCAGTTTAGCTAGGAAAACAATGCTGAGCAGTCAATCACTCTGCCAATGAACACAGCAGTCTGTTCCCAAGCATGGGTCAGAGAAGGGCAACTGCTAAATTTTTCAGAGAGCAACTTCTAGCAAAAACGAGCTCAGCCCTAGCAGGCCCCAGGGCTTCAGCTCACTTAGCAAACCCCTTCTGCTTACAGTTCCTCCTGTGGCCTCCTGGTCTTGGCTGTAATAACAGAGACGCATCCAGGATGCTTAAATCCCTGTGGATGAGTTATGTCTACTGTAGCCACATAAGTCATATCCAAAACAATTCCAACACAATTCCAGTGCAATTTTACATTAGGGCCACTTGTTCTCTCCTTTTCGTTCCTGGTGACGGCTTTAGCATCAGCTGATGTTTACACTTCTCTTTGCATAAGGGTAGCATGCCCATACCATAATGGACTGCAGGTGACTGGGGTGAAATAAAACTCCATTAATTAACAAAAAAACCTCCAAACATTATCTGTGTAAGTAAAACCAACAAACCCAAACACTGCCTCCTTTCTCCAATGAAGTGGCATTTTTAAGTGACTCTGCTGTCACCTCTGTGCATCCTCATCTTTTCAGGGATTGTCAACCCAGCCGTTTGTTGTTCTTACCTTTCTCCAGCCAGCCCGGCTCCCCACTGCTTGGACACCCTGTACACTTCACCCTTTCTAAGGTCTGGGGCTGTACCTGATCTCCTGCTGCCACACGGGGAGGTGGTGACAGACTGACAGAGTCAAAGGGGCTAGTCGCATAAAGCAGATTTATGTCAGTAGGTTCACGTTTTCCCCTGGCGGTATCTCAGGATCTTGCAATGGTGGATTAGGCACATGGTGCTTATCTGGACTCTCAGGCAGGCACCCAAACTTCAGTCCTTGCATCCTTACCACACCAGCAACCCAGGGAACCATGTGTTCGTTGGGTGCTCATAAACCAAGAGCAGGGAAACATTACAGCTAATAAAACAGTTGACTCATTAAACTCCAGGAGCTTTCCAGGCCTCTTGCTCTCGATTTGTGGCACCTAAGTGCCATGAGTGAGGGTAGCCCCAAGACCTGATGGCCCTTCATCTATTTCTCCTCTCTTTCTTGGCTACTTCAAGCATGTCTTGTTTGTAAAAGCCTTAGCTTCTTTAAGGTCCAGGGGCAGTAAAAGCCTAGGATGGAGGGGAAAAAAAAGACCTGTTCTGGTTGTGAGCTGACCTCTCCTCTTATCATGGTGGGGCAGGGGGAAATGCATCTCTCCCAAGGGAAAAGGCATCTCATTTCTGTAACCGCTGAAGTACTTTACAGCCTCTGGCGTGGGTGGGCAAGTGCAGGGACAGGTTAGGAAGCTGGAACTATGCTAAATCAGAAAGAAACTCTGATCCACCTGAGCACTGAGCTGTCAAGATAATTGAATTTATACAGTAATTCTTCTTCCCTCAGCTAGAGATTTTCTTTTCAAAACTTTCCGCATGAAAGTCTTGTGGAAGGAGAGAGGATGGATGCACGCATCATCCCCATGGTGCTCAAGGCTGGTGCATGGTGAGAGTGTTGACAGGTGGGAAATGAGACAGGGGCACCAGCTGCATGCATGGGCTTGGTCCTGCAGAAGCAGGGGGGATGCCCAGCAGGGAATACCAGCCGGCAGGAGCTCTGGCTCTCTCCTCACTCTGAAGGTATCCCACCTGGTCCCAAACCCCTCTCTGTCTTTACATCTCTCTGACTCATACCTGCCTGCAAGCATTTCCACCTCTCATTTTAGTCTTCCTCCATAATTTCTAGTTTTTCCATTCACTCCTTACCTTTACTTCATCTTTTTCCATTTTCCTTCATATCACAGAACCATAGAACAGTTAGGATTAGAAAGGACCTCAAGATCATCTATATATCCTTCTATTCTTTTCCCAATCCTTTCTTTCCTCTTTCATTTTCCTCTTTATTCCTTTCATCCCTTTCCCTACTTATCCTCCTGCTGAGTCCTCCAACTCAGTCTCTGCCTTGCTGATAAACATTAGCTTATACCAGGTAAGTCTGCTCAGGTGACCTTGAGTTTAACAGAGATAAGACCGAGCTAACACAGGGAACAAGCAAGCACAAGTTAGCACATTGACCCTGTCCAGAAAGCACTTG